ACAGCCCCGGCCTTAAGTGCGCAGCGGCTGCCTGTCCTTGCCCCATGCGCAGATCTGGAAGGTATGTGCCTCCATGCACACACCACTGGCAGCTATGCCCCCCCTCCCCCCATGGTCCCCGGATGAGCCGCAGCACAAGCTTCCGTAGGCTAGAGCCTATTTTACCAGATGGTAAATCTAGAAGGATTAGGGCCATTTACTTTCTTCTCTTCCTTTCAGTACAAAGTATTAGACGGTGACAGCATTTTTCATTTTATCATACCTTTTAGAGTACTGGCTGAAAATACATTTATACAAAGAACAGTGACCATATTCCTGATTAAGCAAAGAAAAGTCATTTTAATTTCCATATTGAAAGTCTTGAAATACTGCTGTAATTTTTATTGTCAATATATTTGCTATTTTGAAAAAAAAAAACCCATTTAAAGGTGTATTTTACTTCAAATAAATTTAAAGCGGATATTTGTGAATACTTGTATGGTACTCTACCTACTCTTGAAGAGTTTCCATTCATAGTCCATTTCCTCAGTTTTATACACACAATTATTACAGGCTTAGACCTGAAAAAAACTACCACGTGACGCAAAAGTGACAAAATGGACTTTATAATTCAGAATAACGAAGTGTGGGATCAGACTATGTGGGAATTACAAATGTTGATTATTTGCTATCACATCTAGCAGCATTTTCCAACCGGTGTGTCATGTCACACTGGTGTGCTGTCGGGGGAGGGGGTGTGGCTCCAACCAGTGATTCAGGTGCTGCACCCCACTGCCCCCTGCCACTCCGTGTCTGGCCATGCCCCACCATGCTCTGCATCCAGTGTGCTGCAACGTGTTTTATTCATGTAAGTGTGCCATGGGATGGAAAAGGTTGGGAAATGCTGACATATAGCATTAAGTACACTAGCTTGTGCACTTCAGAAGTGTTACGAGATGTTTAGAACAGATGGAAAAATACGCTGTGCTTTTCCTATGTTACACAGGTCCTTTATTGTTAATGGTTGCAAAACACTATATTGATTTTTTTATTACAGCATATCTATGGAAGACTTTAACAATTATTATTTATATTAAGTTGCACAACTTTAAAACTGTTCATGGAACTAGATTTAGTTGTCTGACTGTTTGCCTTCAACACCAAATAGTATCTGAAAAACATGTTCACTTTGATGCTGTTTCAAGAATTCTAGGAATTGACCAAGATCCATGTGATAGTCATTCCTCAGTCCATAATCACCGTGTGCTTGAAACTGTAAATCTTCAAAAGTAGTGAAGAGTCGAAGGTTATCCCCATTACCCTGAGTTTCTATGTTCTCGACATGCTTGCATGAAATGTGTTTCCAGTTGGGATATCTAATAACATGCCAGAACTCCTCACAGTTTTCTTTTATCCCCTCCACACAGATGATACCAGGTTTTCCTGTCAGGCAGAAACCAGTCAGATTTAACTGCTTTGCACAATCAAAAATCTTCTTTCTCAGTTCCTGCCTATATATATGATGGCTATAGATCCACATTCGATGAAATATTCTTTTAACTGCCTTTTCTTTTGGAGCTGCTTCAGAAGAGACCTTTCTTTTTTGGAAGTAAGGTGTGGTATTGTCTTGAATCCACTGCAGAGCTGTACATATGCACAATTCTCCCGTATTCAAAGAACTGAGATGAGAAGTGAGATGCTTGTTAAGCTGTAGTTGTTGCTCTCTGTCTAGTGCATTTGATCTTACAAACAGCTGTGGTGCAGAATAAGGGTACGTGTGAGGCAAGGTTACCTGCAAATCTACTTTTACCTTAAAGAAGGAAAGAAAAAACAATCAGATGTACGACTGAAATGCATGTTAATTGCAGGATTTTTTGGAACCGTAAATTAGGCTCTACAAAGGAATAACTTTACCATGATAGTTATGAACAGTAATAGCTGTGATAGTTTCAAGGGAGGGCCAAGGTTTTTGGCAGGCATGCCACCACTTAGCTTTACACCCTCCATGTGCCACTCTTATCCCCTTTCCCTCCCCGATCTGATGCTCTGTTCTCGCCACACAATCTTGTGCTCCTGGTTTGTCTGTTGCTCTGGTGTTTCTTTCTTGTGCTCCCTGCCTGATTTGCTGCTTTGTTTTCTGCTTCCTACCCTATTTACTGCTATGCTACCTGTTTCCTTACTGATAATCCAGGTGTTGCACCCTGGCTGCCCATGCCACGTGCTGGCCACCTTGGTTTAGAAAGACACTAACGGAGCTCTGCCTCAGGTGAGTGCTTGCTGGTGCTGGTGTGTTCTGTGTCTGTTCTTACTCTGCAAAGTCTCTGTTACTCCTCTCATCCAACTCAAGCAAATGTGCCCTCCTTTCAGTCTTCTCCTTCTGCCCAGGAAATATTTTGTGGGGATGCATTGACATAAAATTACCAGGTTAGGAAACATGGCATATTTTTTTCTTTTCCATAGTTTCTTTCACCTTTTTAATTTTTTTTGCCTGTTGTCTTCCTTTGTGTTCCTATATCATTGTTCCCAAGCTCTTTTCCTGTACCCGCAACTCTGAGGTCTTCTTTATAGGGTTGATCCTTCCTGCCTCAAATGGCTACTTTTGAAGAGAAGATATATATCCCTGCCATGTTCTTCTATTTCTGGGCTGTGTTACTAGCCTGTGAAGTCAATGTAAGCTACAACTGCAGTAAGAAGTCAAGGTTTAGTGACTTTCAAGAATCCTACTATTGCTGCGTTTCTGCAGTAGCTGGATGGCAAGCTCTAAGCATGACAGTTTTCAGTACTCTCAGCTATTTTTCCTAATCATTCACTCATGCTATGTGACAGAGAGATTTTGTGACTTGCACATGAATAACTGGGAAAGAAGACAAGTAACATATGCTGCAAAAAGGACTGTAGTGGTTTAATGCCATTGCTAATCGGTGTGACTCCTGATTTCTGGCAAAAAGAAAATGTCAGGTATCTGAAACCTTCCTGTTTTCCATATACAATTTGGGTGCCACCTGTGATTAAAGAGCAGGCTTCTATTAAGACATACAGATGGGAATATTTTAGGCTGAACAGTTATTACAATGGACATCTTTGAACTATGTATTGTATAAATGAGTGAAATACTCTTAAGTCAATTCTCAAAAGAACCCAACAAGCGAAAATGCAGAACAACATCCCCAAACATGAAATTTTGGGAGTGTATTTAGTATTTGAATACAGTAATATAGGCGTTTACAGTTATTCTGATTTGTTACCAGGCTATTTCCATTTTACTACCAAAAGAAGTGGTGTTCTGAGTATATGGGCTAAGGGAACAGAACATTTGCAACTCGCATTCTTTCAGATGACTTTTTAGACATCAGTAGTAAATAATCACTTGCTTTTATGACAATTAGTGAATTCTCTTTAAACCTCAGAATTGTGACTCAATTTTCCTAAAGTAGTCTCTACCAGAGTGACAAAAATGTGTTAAAAAGGCATTATCTTAAAACACAGAAATTTCTCAATCACACTTTCAGTCTAATAACTAGCTAAGGTTACAGTTTAACTCAAACTGCTGCAGGTAATTAAGCAAGTATCAAAACATTTCTGCATTTGCAATAATAGGATGGCATAACCATTTTTTTTTAGCTTTACATCATTTTTCAGGGGCACAAGACCATTTGAATAAATTTCTGTCAAGTGTCTTAATATATTTAACTTACTGAGTGGATGTCTGAATTGGTATCACATTCACTTTACAGACATTGCACGCCCCTGGCTTTCTAATATGCAACCCAGCTGTTCCTTAGAATTCCTCTTTTCAAAATGTGTGTAGACATCATGGCAAATGGTTATGTGGCATGTATGCAAAACTAATGCTGTGTCATTTCCTTGTACTGACATAATATCTGTATGAATCTATTGTCTCTTGTTTTATGTTTAAATTATAAGCTCTTACAGTAGGGATTAACTTTGTACAGTGGCTAGCACAACAGGGTGCTTGGTTTATTGCTGGGGTGGGCAAAATACAGCCTTGTGGGCCAAATTGGGCCCACAGTGGGTCTTTGTCTAGCCTGCAGCAAGTCCCTTGGTCCCACCTGACCCAGGCACAGTCCACCTGTGGCACATCCTGCCACCCCCTGGTCAGGCAGCTGGTTTGGGCCAGCTTCATGGCTAACCTGCCTTTCTAGGCAGCCCAGGTGGCGGTGGCTCCTGGCTGCTGCCACCATTGGCTCCAGCCCCATAGTACCAGCAGGGACCCAACTGCACAGCCCGGACCCCGTGTGCTCCATGCCTGCTCTGGGCTTGCCCACCCAGGCTCAACAGCAGCGGCACAGGACAGAAGTGACAAGAAAATAAAATTGGCTACTTACAGATGTAACCCCCCCCCAACCAAAAAAAAAAAAGGCAGGGGAGGAGGGGTTCCAGGAAAGAAAATTATTGAATTAGCAATAGTTGTGAATATTCAAAATCTAAATATACCATTAGGTTGTAAGGTTTTAAGCACTATTTTCACTGATGATGCTTAAAAATGCTGGAATGGTATTGCCTTATCCTCAGCTATAATGTTAACAACAGGCTGAGGGTTGTCAAAACACATTTATGCATTTCAAGGGCCTTGCATGCAAAAGCTTCCAAAAGGAAAGATTTCAAATACATCCCCAAGCCCTTCATGCACTAGTCTATTTTCCTCCCTATGGAGGATAGAACTGACCAAATAGCCGTGATACCAACAGTTCCCTTAAGCTCCAGCCTGCCACAAGCCAACAGATGTAGCAAAATGAGAATTAAAAATTGAAAGGACCTCTGAAGATGTTTGCTGCTCTCCATGCCAACCAACAGAATCAGAAAGCCCAAATCTTAGAACAGCTCAAGAAACCTGTAGTTCACAAGTGAAGTTATATGTTACATTTATACCATACTAAGGGCATTTGAAATGTATCTGCGCATTAAAGCTCGTTAACTTGTGCTAAGCCACTGCTTCCCAAACTTTGCTTCAGCGTGACCCCATTTCCTCAGCATAGCCCCTCACTCCCTGCCCACAGCCCCTTGGCCCCCACAGCAGTGCCCAAGCCCTGGCTGCCACCCGTGGGAGGTGGTGGCCAGTGTAGTGCAGAGCCTGGCTTTCCCCCCAACCTCGTGCTGTCCCCTCCCCTGCGAGCAGCACTGCTAGAACTAAGCCCATAGGAGGCGAGGGTGGTGGGGGAGATGCAGGCTTGGGGCTCCCTACCCTGCTACCCTCCCCCCAGGGGCTCCATGGCCCACTGGGCAGGACCTGGCACATGAGGGAGGGAGCACTGTGCCATCATGGCTGCCAACCTGAGGCGCCCTCTGCTCACCCAGCAGCAGCACAGGCACATCTCCACACTGCTGCCACACCCCACCTTGGCAGCCACAGTGGTACAGCACTCTCCTACAATGGGTCCCACCCTCTGGGCCGTAGAGGTGGCTTCTACCTGGAGCTGGTCCGACACAGCTGCAGCCCCACACATCACTGTGGGTGCAGATGTCTTGGGGGCACATTTATTGCAATCCCATCTGCTGATGGGGATCTGCTAAATGCTCCCTGAGTGTCTCAAAGTTGCATCCTTTCAGGCAAGGGTTAACAGGCTACCTAGCTTATGTTAGGATAATTGTGGTCTGCTCCACAGAAATGAAACAAGCAATCTGCAGTCCTCCAGCATCCCAGTTTCATAGTTGGTAGGGTCGGAAGGGACCTGAGCAGATCAACTCCGACCCCCTGCCATGGCAGGAAAGAGTACTGGGGTCAAATGGCCCCAGCAAGGTGTTCATCCAGCCTCCTCTTAAAGGCCCCCAGGGTAGGAGCCAGCACCACTTCCCTTGGAAGTTGGTTCCCGATCCTAGCTGCCCTGACAGTGAAGTAGCGCCTCCTGATATCTAGTCTGAATCTACCCTCTGCCAGCTTGTGTCTGTTATTTCTAGTCACT